TGAAATTCACTGCCACACAAAGTGGTTGCAGTCAAAATATTCAGTTTTCAAGAAGGAGGTAGACAAAGCTTCTTTAGCTGAAGGGCTCAGGTGATATGAAGGACTGCGGGATTAGAGTATTAAGCTCAATGATCAGCTATGATCATAATGAATAGAACAGCAGGTTCAAGGGGTGCACTGGTCCAATCCTGCTCCAGTCTTCTATATTTCTAAACATTTCTATGACGCTGGGAATTCTCTGGAACTCATTGCCACAGAAGACTATCGAGGCCTAGTCATTGAGTGTATTTAAGACAGACAGAGATAGGGTCTTGATCAGTAAGGGCGATCCAGGTTTACAGGGAGAAGGCAGGAGAATGGGGTTGACATAAATAAGCTATGAGCAAATGGTGGAGCAGACTCAGTGGGCTGAATAACTTAATTCTGCTCCTACATGTTATGGGCTTATAGTGTTAAGGCCATTGTGGTTGGTCACAGTGAAGAGAGATGTGAATTGGGTGGGTTTCTTGCAGATGGTGTTTCTCAGCCAATCTGTGGATCAGCTGTCTGCATTATGGCATAGTGCCTCAGACACTGGTGAGGGGCACTTTGCAGGATTGTCTGAGCCATCCATGGTTGTATGTGATTTAAACCTTATTCAACTTTTCAGTAGCAGTTTGATACCACTAAGTAAGTTCTAGGCCATTTCGCAAAATTGTTAAGAGTCAACCACATTGCACTGGGTCTGGAGCCATAACAGGGTCAACTGATAAAGGATAGCAAATTCTGTCTCCTGAAGAAAGTTAGTGAACCATATGAGCTTTTACAATAATCTGGTAGTTTATGATCATCATTACCGAGATTAGCTTTTAATTATATATTCGTTAACTAAACTCAAATTTCAGCAAATGCCTCAGTGGATTTGAACTGATGACCTTGGAGACCTTGTCTAGGTCTCTGCATCATTAGTTCAGTCACTTAATGATGTCGAAGTTAGAAACACGCAGATACCTGAGGAAAACAAAGACAGTTGTGTTGTTTTGTTTTTAACTTACAGTGAGGTTTATGAATGGTCAAAGATAGTTATAAATATTCTTTACTGTAGCTGCCTGTGTGTCATACTGTGACAGGGGGTTGACTTGTCTTGGATTTTATTTTAATCTTGGAAGCCTTTTTTTTAATCAGTCTGTCCCTTGTTGCAAGTGGGCTCCAACTAGTCCACCATATGCCTGAGACCAACCTTTTCAGGAGGGCCTCAATGCCAGTCTATCTTTCCTTAGAACTAAATCTGTGCATAGCATTCCAGGTGTTGTCTGACTAGCGACTTGTGTAGTTTTAACAAGATTTCTCTGTTTTTATACTCATTTCCCTTTGAAAGAAAAGGCCAACATTTCATTTGTCTTCCCTGTTACCTGCTGAGTTTATTTTGCGATTCTTGCTTGATAGTTAATCCTAAGAATTAATGAAGAAAGTAATGTGAGCCACTTTATACATTCTTGGAACTTTGGGAAGTTGAGTCAATCACATTGCTAGGGATCTGGAGTCAGAAGTAGGGCAAACCAGGTAAGTACAGCAGATTAGTGACCAGATGGGGTTTTATAATAATCAACAGCAGTCACATGATCATCATTAAGCCAACTTTTGATTCCAGATTTTTATTGAAATCAAATTTCACCATCTGCCATGGTGGTGTTTGAACCCCTATTGCCAAAACATTAATTCTGAAGAAGGGTCACTGGACCCAAAGCATTAACTCTGCTCTCTCTCCACAGATGCTGCCAGACCTGCTAAGGTTTTCCAGCAATTTGTTTTTGTTTATCCCCAGAACATTAGACTGGAATTCTGAATTTCATCCAGTGACAATAACATTAAGCCACCATCTCCACCAGGAGTTCCAAGGGTTAGCAAAGGCCAGTATAATGAGTGGGCAATGGCTAGTTCTAGGAATTATGGCAACTTTAGTTAGTGAAGGATAATCTGCACCTGTACATGGCCATCACTATACTTGAAGATGCTCCTGTAGCCATAATTCAGCACTTCAAAGAGAGAACATAAAACCTGGATACAATAATGAAGCAGAAATAGGCAGACAGTATGTGTGAAGTTGCTCTAATCCTGACATTGTATCTTTCCATAGTATTTTGTCCTGTGCGGGGTGACATCGTTGATCAGCTGTGCTGCCTTTCTTCATCTACATTCAATTATAAAGCTGGTGTCTGTCATCTTAATGATTGCCATCTACACCTACATTACCCACTACAGTTTCAGACAATTGAATGTGCAAATGTATGCAGAATTGCCCAGGTAATCTTACATGGAACATCTGATGAGATACTGTTCAGAAATCAGCCCTTTGATCTGTCTGAAACCTTCTTCCTACAGCAGATTTCAAAATTCTGCACTGACCTCTAGTTGTGGCCTCACTGAGGTTTTATATAGATTCACCGTTACATTTCAGCCTTCTTATTATGTACTCAGAAGGAGACTAGAACAGTTAATAGTTTCAGTGAACGTGGAGGCAAAATATCTATTCAGCATCCTTCTTATTTCACTATTTAATTTCAACTTGCACATCCACTAATGACCACATGTCCCTTATGATTTTCAACATAACAATTTGCATTTATATAGTATTATCCATACAACAGAATGTTCCAAAGTATTTTGCAATTTTCAGAAGTATCTTAAAAGGAAAATATGAGGTACAAAGGCAGCGAGATTAAGGGAGAGGATTCCAGAGTTTAGAGCCTCTGCAACTGAATTCATAATTACCAATGGAATGATTAAATCAGAGGTACACAAGGGACAGGTATTGGAAGAGTACATAACATTCTGGAGGCTGTTGGTCTGGAGAAGATTACAGAGATATGTTTCTATCACAGCTCATTTTAACCTCTCTATTCCAAGGAGAATAATTCCAGTTTCACCAGTCTCTACATAACTGAAATTCTTCACTCCTTAATGTGTGTACTGTCCATCTTCTTTTCAATCATTCCCTTAATGCACCTTATGACGACTGCCCACTAGACATTTTCCCATCAATATTTCTGTTATCTTCTCCGGATTATTTCCCATTTTGAGGCCAGGCAGATTTTTCTCCCTCACGGGTTTAACAGGAAACTATAGGTTCTTTAGCCTGACTTCAGTCATTGGTAAGATTTTAAAGTCCATTGTTAAAGATGAGATTGTGGAATACTTTGAAGAGCATAGTAAAATAGGGCTGAGTCAGCACAGCTTCATAAGGGGGCGGTCATGCCTGACAAATCTGTTAGAATTCTTTGAGGAGGTAATGAGCAAGTTAAATAAAGGAGATTCGGTGGACATGACCTATTCGGATTCCCAGAAGGCCTTTGACAAAATGCTGCATAGGAGGCTCTTGACAACAAAAAAGCCAATAGTGTTAAGATGAAGGTACTGATATGGATAGAGGATAGGCTGGCTGGCAGAAGGCAGAGAGTGGGGATAAAGTTGTCTTTTTCAGGATGGCGGCTGGTGAATATTGGAGTTCTACAGGGGTCAGTGTCAGTACCACAACTATTCACGTTATACATTAACAATGTGGACAAAGGAACTGAGGGCATTGTTGCTAAGTTTGCAAATGACATAAAGATAGATGGAGGGACAGATAGTGTTGAAGAGGTAAATTGCCCATAGTGTTCAGGGATGTGTAGGTTAGGTGGGTTAGCCATGGGAAATGTGGGGTTACAGGGATAAGTTGGGGGGGCATTGTATCTGGGTGGGATGGTCTTCGAAGGGTTGGTGTGGACTCGATGGGCTGAATGGCCTACTTCCACACTGTAGGGAGTCAATGAAATCCATGAATTTCTTCAATCAGAGGGTGGTGCATCTGTGGAATCCATTGCTGCAGAGTGCTGATGAAGTCAACTCTTTGAGTGTGTTTAAGACAGAGATGGATAAGGTCTCGATTAGTTTGGGATCAAAAGTTATGGGGAAATGGCAGGAGAATGGAGTTGAGAATCATATCTGCTAGGATCGAATAGCCTGTACTCATTGGAATATAGAAGAATGAGAGGCGACCTTGTTGCGATATACAAGACTCTTAGGGGCCTTTATAGGGTAGGTGTGGAGAGGACATTATGTGCTGTTGCCACTCTCGGTGCTTCCTCCAAGTGATGTTCAACATTCATCAGCTGAGGGAGGATGGTATGCAGCAGTCAATGGGAGATATTGATGCCCTTGTTTATCCTGAAGCTGTAAGACCTCATGGGGTCCCGAGTTAATGTTGAGGACTCCCAGAGCAACTCCCTCCCGACTGTATCCCACAGTGCCGCCACCTCTGTTGGGTCTGTCCTATCAATGGGGCAGGGCGTATCTATGGATGGTGATGGTGGTATCTGGGACATTATGTCAGGCTGTTGTTTGACTAGCCTGTGAGACGGCTCTCCCAATTTTGGCACTAGCCCCCCACATGTTCGAAAGGAGGACTTTGCTGGGTTGAGTTTGTCATTGGTGTTTCCGTGGCCTGGGCTGATGCTAATTTGCCTAGCTGATTTAATTCCTTTGAGCCATTTTAATATTTTTTTACCTCAGACAGCACTTTCCAAATCCACAACCTCTTTCATCGAGAAGAACAAAGGCAGCAGATATATGGGAACACCACCCCCTTCAAGTTCCCCACCAAGCCACTCACCATCCTGACTTGGAAATATATCGCCGTTCCTTCACTGTTGCTGGGTGAAAATCCTGGAATTCCCTCCCTAATAGCATTGTGGGTCAACCCATAGCAGGTGGACTGCAGCAATTCAAGAAGGCAGCTCAACACCACCTTCTCAAGGGGCAACTAGGAATGGATACTAAATGCTGTACATCTAGTGATGCCCACATCCCACTAAATGAATTTTAAAAAATCACTCACAGTCTTGGATACCAAATACGATAGGCCACTGAACCTTCAGGGAAACAATCACCTCCTGGGTTTGGGCAGGGAAAATACGTAATTTTTTTTTACAGAATTATCTAATGATGTCTTTATCTCTTCCTCTCGCCCTCTCTACTTTTAGTTCTTACTCTGATTGGCAGCGGGGAATCATCTTTATGCTGACGTTCATGTTTTTGGTGACAGTCTTTTACCAAGGACGACAGGTAACATTCCTAAACTCCTAATTGCTGTCAACATTTATTGGTGGTGTGGTCAAATGTGTAGTCTCAGATAGGGAAAAATAGGTCCCAACTACCCATCCCTGGAAGCCTATTGCATGCAGGCCTTAGAAACGCAGGCATCTTGCAAATGCTGCAGGAGAAATGACTGATGTCTGGGTGCAGTACCATTGAATATTTGATGTTGACGTGGACAGACTTTTGATATCCCAGGAATCAAGGGACATGGGGACCAGGTGGGCAAGTATTTCACCCCCTTGACAGTTAGCCACAATCATTGGAAAGGTGGAGCAAACTCGAGGGGCTGAATGGCCAATTCTTGCTCCCATTCTTTATATTCTTCAGTTTCAGTCATTATCCATGATACTCTCTCACTTAAACACGAGACACTTGCTCCATTTCTTTGTCCAGAACAAGATTCATTGCTCCCTCCTTCTTTGCTGAGCTTGGAAATACTCTGATCAAGTAAGTTCTCTGGTATAATGTCGGATTTCATGTTGCTCCTTACGCTGTTACGTTTGCAGTCTAATTAGGGTACTTAAGGCACCCCATTACCACCACTTAAGGCGGTTTGGCATCAAGTAACTTACTACCTTCCAATTACATGAAGCTCTTTTTGTTCTGTGGCCTTTCAGATTGAAGCAACAGCACGACTGGACTTCCTGTGGAGATTACTGGCCAGACAGGAAATGGATGAAATGGCAGTGATGCGGAAACATAATGAGGATCTGTTGAACAACATGCTGCCCAGTCACATTGCACGGCATTTCCTCGACAAAGACCCAGATGATGAAGTACGATAATAGTCCCAAGTGTAAATTCAACAGCAAGTATCAATCAAAACTTTTCATCCCTGAGACACACGTGCAGTACTAATTCCTCATAAGACTGCCAAACACTCTTAATTTTGTGGCTGTACACTGTCCTCCTATCAAACACTCCCAGGACAGGGACAGCACAGGGTTAGATACAGAGTAAAGTTTCCTCTACACTACGCCCCCATCAAACACTCCTAGGACAAGGACAGCACAGGGTTAGATACAGAGTAAAGCTCCCTCTACATTGTGCCCCCATCAAACACTCCCAGGACAGGGACAGCATGGGGTTAGATACAGAATAAAGCTTTCTCTACATTGTTCCCCCATGAAACACTCCCAGGACAGGGACAGCATGGGGTTAGATACAGAATAAAGCTTTCTCTACATTGTACCCCCATCAAACATTCCCAGGACAGGGACAGCACGGGGTTAGATGCAGAGTGAATCTCTCTCTACACTGTCCACATTAAACACTCCCAGGACAGCGTCAGCACAGGGTTAGCTATAGGGTAAAGCTTCCTCTACACTGTGCCCCCATCAAACACTCCCAGAACAGAGAGAGCACAGTGTTATACATTGAGTAAACCCTTTAAAAAAAATTGTCAGATTTTATCCAACATCCAGTCTTTCTCTATTGTTTTGTGAATGTTTCATTATCTAGTCTATGTCTAAATTTCTTTTGAATGGCAGTGTTGAATTTTCTTCAGCAATCCTTTCAGGCATCATTTTACAGAACATTCTAGCTCCCTGCTTCAAAACATGCTCCTCATGTTATCTCTAGTTACCAAAGTTACTTTCTAAATGGCTATCCACTTTGGTGGGAGGAATAGAAAGGCAACGTATTATCGAAATGGAGAGAAACCTCAGAGTGCTTTGGTCCAGAGGGATCTAGGTATCCTTGTGCATGAATCACAGAGAACTAGTATGCAGCTACAGCAGGTAGTAGAGTACTAAATTAGGGAAGTGTTCCTGTAATTGTACAAGGCATTATTGAGACTACACCTGGAATATTACAATTTTCTTCCCCTTACTTGTAAAGGGATATAACTGCATTGGCGAAGGTTCAGAGAAGGCTCATGAGATTGATTCTAGAAGTGCAGAGTTTGTTTTATAAAAGAGATTGAGCAGTTTCGAGGTTAGAAGAATGAGGGGAGATTTTATTGAGATATAAAGGATGCTTAAGGAGATTGTCAAAGTAGATGTGGAGAGGATGTTTCCTCATGTGGGGCAATCTAGAATGAGAGGTTTTAACTTTAAGATAAGGGTAGCAGGTTTAAAACAGATGAGGAGAAATTATTTCTTTCAAAGGGACATGAATTTGTGAAATTCACCAGGACAAGAGTGCAGTGCATACTGGAACATTGAGTATACTTCAGGAGGAGATAGATTTTTTAATTAGTACGGGGTTGAAGGATTATGGAGATGGGCAGGCAAATGGAGTTGAGGCTAAGATGTGATCAACTACGATGGTATTAAATGGCGGAGCAGACATGAGGAACTGAATGGCCTACTCCTGTTATGTGTTCATCACAAGAGCAACGGATTCAAGAAAAATAATAATGAGTATGGAGTAGTATTGGCAGTTAGTGGAATGGTATGCTCCTCCTGTAAGATATGGAGGATCAGGAAGAAGTCCAATTTTCCAAGCAACTATGTCTGCAGGAAGTGTGTCCACCTGCATCTCCTCTAAGACCACATGGATCACTTGGAGTAGCAATTGGACTCAATGAGGTGCATAAGGGGGCAGTAGCCCACCGACTCCCACAGCTACCTAGAATACTCCTCCTCCCACCCACCTTCCTGCAAAAATGCCATCCCCTATTCCCAATTCCTTCGCCTCCGCCGCATCTGCTCCCAGGATGAGGCATTCCACTCCCGAACATCTCAGATGTCCTTGTTTTTCAAGGACCGCAACTTCCCCCTCTCAGTGGTTGAGAACGCCCTCAACTGTGTCTCCCACATCTCCCGCAACTCATCCCTTACACACCCTCCCCACAATAACAACCAAAACAGGATCCCCCTCGTCCTCACGTACCACCCCACCAACCTCCGGATCCAACG